GTTTCTGCTGGTGTCAAACTAGGCGTCGTCAGAACCCTCCAGTCGGATGAGAGGCGAATCGTCTTCTAGAGAACTTCTCGTTCAGTTGCTTAGACTGAACTTTTTCAAGTTTGTTTAAAAGAGACGGAAAAAAAACGATGTGGCATCTGGAGTAAAAGATCAAGTCTCTAAAGGAAACTGAGCTCACTGTTTAACTGAAGAGATCAACTCTCACCGCAGTGAACCAGGGGGCACCGCAGTCCCAGCAGGAGGAAAATGTAAAACATAAATAAGGACTAAAACAGAACATGAGATTTTTTTTTTTTCCTTCTCATTTACAAAACGGAGCTGAACTGAAAATGAGAGCAGAGCAGTTTTACTAAACAGGTGGAGCCGTTGGGTTTGGATGAACCGGTGAGGTCCAGTAAGCTCCATTTCAGCCGCCAGGCTCCAGAAAGTGTCACGTTACCGTAAAGAAAGGTCTTGTCCAGGTTTCATGTTTCAGATCTTTACAAATCGTTACAGTAGATGTTTTTTTTTGGGGGGGGGGACAGGAAAAGAAAAAATAGAGTTCACAGACGTGGCGTCCGCTTGTACACTTAAATAAAATCATTGTTGCTGCTCCAGACAAGATGATTAAAAAGAAACTATAACAAGTTTCAACCGTCCTGAGAACAATCTGGAAATAATAAATACATCTTGACCAGAAAGCTGGAGCACAATCCTGTTGAGTTGAACAAGTGTATTCTTGCGGTTGTAAAGAAATCAGTCTGGGCTCGGTGGCTCAGTATCCCTGTAGTCCGTTGTAAACCTTCTGTACGGATCCCTGCTTCAGGATCCCCCGAATACCTGAAACACATTAGGAGAAAAACCATTAGTGATACAGAGAGGTGGAGCGTCCCTTTGCCAGATATTATATTAACCACACAGGACATGTAGTTAATACAACATTTATTTTCCCTTTGGGATTATAAAAGGGGTCAGATAATGGATGGATGGATAGATTACAACAACATCTGCAAACACGATGATTGACTGCGGTCAATTGCCATTCATCCAAACAAGTGGATCAGAGCTGACCCACGCAAAGATTCTGCTTGGCCGTCAGCCCAATATTCCCACATCCTCCGCTGCAGACCGCCTGCGTAAAGCAAAGCCTACAGCCTCCACGTTTCCTCCCGTCTTGCTCCACTCCAACTTCCTCGGAGCTTGAGGAGAGCGTGCGTGATAATTTTATTAAATTCATAGGATGAAAACGTGCGGAAATAAACACTTAATTATGACATTTAAAAAAATCCCCATCAGCATCCAGCATATGTGCAGTTTCCAGTAGTGTTGCGCCAATACCGATACCAGTATCGGACAGGGCCCCGATACTGCCCTAAAATGGTGGTATCAGTATCGGTGAGTAC